GATCCCAGCTGGCGTGGAAGTCGCTCAGAATTGCCTTTTTTGAACTCTATGAAGATGAAGATGTCCATTCTGTTTGGCGTTGCACATATGAACTTAGGAATTATATTAAGTTATTTTAATGCTCGTTTCTTTGGAAACTCACTGGATATGAGGTGCCTCACTCTTTTGCTTGGTCTGTGCAGTTATTCTATGCTATCCTTTGGGTAGTCGATTTAACTTAATCTTTATGTTGCTATTAGGTATCAGTTTGTACCACAGATGATTTTCCTTAACTGTCTATTTGGGTATCTTTCCCTTCTCATTGTTGTTAAGTGGTGTACTGGCTCTCAAGCAGACCTTTATCATGTAATGATATACATGTTTTTGAGCCCCACAGACAATCTTGGTGAGAATCAGTTGTTTTGGGGGCAAAGACCACTTCAGGTATGAATCTGGTCCCTTTATTCATTATTGCTTAATAAATTGTTCCATTTCCTAGTGTTTTGTCATTCTGAATTACTGTTCTTGGTGTGCAGATTGTGTTATTGCTTTTGGCTGTAATTGCAGTTCCATGGATGCTCTTTCCAAAACCTTTTATACTAAAGAAGCTTCATACTGAGGTGCCACTTTTACCTGTCTTGTGTATGGTTTTCTTGTTTGAAAGTTTGTAACGTTATTCAACTAGTCGTCTTTATTAAACATACTTACCTACATGTAGATATGCTTGTGGTTTGAGTTTTCCCTTTTTTTGGGCTTTGACTTTGTGTAAGGTTGCTTGAAAATCAATTCTCCTCGAGAACCATTATAAGATCAATTCTCTATGGAATGAATATGCTGAAGTGCCTAAACTACTATAACACCCGTCTGTTATGCAGCAGACAGTTTTTGTGGCTATAGTTGGCCATGTTGGAGCAAGTAATTAAGGAGGTGATGCTAAGGTTTTTGCCAATATTATTAATATTTTATCCTGCTGACATTGTACAGAGATTTCAAGGTCGTAGTTATGGTATACTGAATACCTCTGAGGTGGATCTTGAAGCTGAGCCTGATTCTGCCAGGCAATATCATCATGAAGAATTCAATTTCAGTGAGGTCTTTGTTCACCAAATGATCCACTCCATTGAATTTGTTCTAGGTTCAGTTTCTAATACGGCATCATATCTTCGTCTTTGGGCATTAAGGTTTGCTCAACCATGAATCTTCTTTGCCATGACTTCCTATTTTATGGATTCTTGTTCCTTGGTTGATTTTCCTTACTGCTTGCAGTTTGGCGCACTCGGAACTTTCTACTGTTTTCTACGAGAAAGTCCTGCTTCTTGCTTGGGGGTAAGTTTCATTTATAGTGTGTTTCATTAACGTGTGTTTCTGCATTTATTTGTCTTTGAAAGATTTTTGGAACATTAATTTGGTTCTAGAAAGTTAATGTTTACTGTGACCAAATTTATGTCGTAGGATGACAAAAATCATCTTTTGGTGTCCACTTTGACGTCACAATCTTTCAAGTACCAAATCGATGTTCCATAAAATCTTTCATAGACTAAGTTGGGGGTTTGCTCTGTAATTAATTTTCTCTAATACAGGAATGCGGTGTGATTAATTGCACTGTTTCCCTTGTGTTAAGTTATTCCAAGTTCATGATATTAGTATGGAAAAAACCTTGGGAAACAATGGCGAAAAGCTCTTAAAAAAAATTCAATATTTGAATCAGAATTTTTAGATTGTAGTTCAAATTGATAAAAACCTTGGGAGAATTGCTCAACAATAGTTGATCATTGTAGTTGGAGAGTCTATTATCTTATAAATCCTACACTGAAATCTCATATTTTGAATGTGGGACTCAAGTTATGTCTCCCGCATTTGGATCTTAACCGTTTTGGAAAAGATAACGTGTTTATTTTTTATTTTATTAGTGCAACCATCATGAAAAGATATTGATTCTACCTTTAATGCATATTGCATGAGCCACCGGCTAGTTTAGATGAGGTGATTTGTGATTGATACATTGTTTGGGGTTTAACTATTCTTCATTTGTTATGAATAAGAATATTTATTCTTACATCACTGTTGTTTGTAAAAGTTTTAGCCAAATTAATTCATAACTGCATGGAAACACTCTAAGATTGGATTGTAACTTTCAACATTTTAACTTTCAAAATTATCTATCTGTCATGTATGTATTCCTTAGTTGCATTTATACTTCTTATAATCTTGTTCTTTATCTTTAATCATTGATGTCATTCCTGGTAACAAATAAAACAGGTATGACAATCTTGTCATTCGGTTGGTGGGGCTAACTGTTTTTGCTTTTGCAACTGCCTTTATACTGCTAATGATGGAGAGTCTTAGTGCTTTTCTTCATGCCCTGCGGCTTCACTGGGTAGAATTTCAAAATAAGTTCTACCATGGTGATGGCTACAAGTTCAGGCCTTTTTCATTTGCCTCCTTATCAGAGGATGACGATTAATCCATTCATATCTGTCTCAGATTTCTTGGCAAATATATAGAAAGGATATTTACACAAGATGAAAATTGGTAATGTTGGAACCAATTTGGCGGCTGTGGTTGTTAGGTTTGATTGATGATATTCTGCTTGGTATTGACCTAGCAACAACAAAATTCCTGCTCATTTTCCTGTGTCTAGGTGGGGGTTTGTAAGAAGATGACGCTGCCAATGGTTATGGAAGGCATTTGTAACAGAATATTTGCTTTATAGTTTTTCTTTTGTTAGAATAGGAAACGGGAAGAGCTAAGAGAAGGGACTGTTTAGAGTAAATTTTGTAAAGAGGAGCTGGGATCCATCGTAGAGTGTAGCTTTTGGATTTTGGGTCTTCGGTGGTTACATACACACATATACACGATGTAGTGCAGGTTTGCCGGGAAATAACCAATTTCTCTGAAATTTTCTTGTATTGATAATTGAGAAAGTTAGCGTCCCATTCTTTTGTAAGGATTGATCAAAGTAAAATACAGTGACTTGAAGATGAATAATGCCATATGTACGGTTCTTGTGTAATGAGAAGTTGGCAACTTACAATTGGAAATGTTACTTCCAGCATCTGAAATGAAATCTAAATATAAACTTGCATCTGATGGTGAGATCTTTGATTTATTATTTGTTTTGTTTAGTTAGAGTAAATTCACAACTTATGCAAAGACACCTGGATATGTAGTTCGGTTTGAGTCTTCGGTCTTTCTTTGACATAATAAGAAATGAAAAAGTAATGCTTAGTTGCTTTTTTTAATAAATACTAAACATATAGCCCTTTTTCAACTGAAAATTAACACGTTTGATTATTTACTTTATTAATAATGTTATTTTAACGTCTGATTTGAGTGTTTATATTAGACATTATGAATAAATTTATACTATAAATATATAGGATATTTGGTACAAACGTTCAAATTAAGTATTAAAATAACATTGTTTCTTATCTTAAAGTTAAAATTCTTTATCCATAGTTCTTTATCCGTGGTGAAAAAAAAAATAGTAAAATAGTAATGTCACTGGTATAAAAGTGACACAAAAGCACCATGCACGTAAAAGACGGAAAAAGTTAATATCTTTTGGGGGGAAAGTCTTCAAGAGTAACTTCTCTAATTTTGTCTTTTTTTTTTTCTCTCTTTTTTTTGTTTTACTTTTTTTTCACATTCTTAAACTATAAAATGCTGAAGCATTTCAAACAGGTAAACACATGAATAACAACTGAATGTTTGAACCAATAAGCACGCATATAAGATTTGAACATGAAGGGAAAAATATACGTGCTTCCATTGGCGTTAGTGCATATAGGTTCATATCTTAATTTTGCCTCATAAATCTCAAATCGCAGTAGGAGAGGATAAAGTTAAATGCCATATTCATAGGTTTGATTCATTTTGAATGATATATCTGACCAATATCTTTTGATATAAGAGTACGAGCAATGTATGATATTTTACAAGGATTATTTAGTTGACATTGGAACTCATTTTTCAATCCAAGAAATCATTTTGCTAACCAAATACCACATCGACTAGATTTTTTTTAGTGACTAACTTCATAATTTGATATACATTATCAAGTATTATTTTAAAAACATTTTGGTATTCCCAGTATTTATAAGAACATTTTTTAAAAAGAATTATGGTATACTTTTCTAAACCTTTCGTTTTTATTTAACTATCTTTTAAACATTTTGGTATCTATTTAACTCCCTTTTTTGTTTTTTAGATTTTATCATAGAATACAAAAAATTAAAAACAAAAAACTGATCATTTTTGTATTAAGTTCATCTTCAAATCTATATTAGGCTCTGCTCTGCTAGCATTGAACTATACAAGTACAAATCAGCGGCGTGTTGACTCGTCTAATAAGCTTTCCAATCTTTAAAAAAAAAAAAAAAAGATGAGTTCTATTTCAAAATAATTTGTTGGTACAATGCATAATTCTATTATAAATTTTCACTGATATTGATTATCTTTTCCGACCTTGATTTGGTCAAACGCTCCCGCAGTTTAAACTTTTCTCTACCTGAAAAAATGTACAAGCATAAATGTTGAATTAAATATACATAGTATGTGTACCAAAATTAAATTATGTCTAAATAATTATAGAATTGCCTGAAGTATTATTTTTTTTGTTTTGGTCAAGGCCCCCTTTTTTTTGTCAACGCCTAAAGAAACACTGCGAAAATATCGTTGAATCAGTTGACAAATATAGAAATCTTTGAATCTCTCGCATATCACGGGATTGGCTCAAAATTATTTGAGCCAGCAAAATATTGGGCCTGTATTTTATTGATTGTTTTGTCCAATGCCCATCCTGATAAGGGTATTTATTTGGGCTAGCCCATGAAACTTGTGCACGCACTAACCCAAATCCAATCACCGGCGTTGAGACTGATCCAAGTGAGAGAGGGAATCGATGTGGCAGGGCAAAAAGGACAACTTCCGTCTACGCAATCCCTTCCTCGTATGAAACGTGACGACATGTCGTTTGCATAAAGCACCCAACTTAGCGTCTTCCACACTCGTATGTTCCACAAAGGGAATCCCACTTGAGCAACTGCAAGTAGACACAGACTCTGAAAATTCAAAAATCATCGCAATGGAGAATTTCCATAACCGTAAGGACATTACTAACACTCGACCTCCACGTGGCTTTACAGATATTTTCAGGAGAGAGTTGGGCTTCTCTCATCCCAACGCTTTTGCTCGTCGCTTTTCAGCTTCGGAGGTTTTACCAAATTCTCTCTGTAATTTGGTTTTGATAATTTTCCGTTTGCCAAATTCTCTCATTAATCGCCGCCAATTGCCAAGTAATTTCAGTGGAAAATTAAGCTAAAAAAAGGAATCTCGGATTTGCATTTCAGTGTGATACAAGGAATAGAAAAAAAACTATACCATGAATCGATTATGATTTGCGTAGTTTCATGTTCTTGAATGTCTAAAGTTAATGTTATTCTGTTGAGACTTATAAATTCAATGCTATGGAATGCTTAACAATTCTTTGGACTACATCCATCAAATTAGTCCCTATATGTGGGCTATTTTAGTTCTAAGATTTTAAAAATTTTGCAAAACGACATTTATTTTTGTCCTTTTTAATACAAAATGAGTGTGAATATGACTAAAATAAATAAATTTTTATAAAATTAAGGACTGATAATTTTTTTTAAAAAAATTCAGAGACTAAAATGTTCTAACTCATACAATTGTGAAGTAGAGGGTTTACTTGTATTATTTGTCTTATGAGGCTTATTTTTTCCTTACAGGTTCTTGTAAAGAACATGAGTTTATATGGTAAATTAGATGGTCATGAAGGATGTGTGAATGCTGTCGAATTCAACTCCACTGGTGACCTTCTTGTATCAGGTTCTGATGACCGACAAGTTATGTTTTGGAATTGGGCGTCCAAAACTAGATTATTTGCATATGCTTCTGGCCATACGGACAACATATTCCAAACAAAAATTATGCCATTCACTGATGACTGCCGAATAGTGACTTCTGCTGGTGATGGTCAGGTAGCCAAATCCGCGAAAGTGTGCATGTGCATCAAACCAATATTCTGTTCAGCTACTTAGTCGCATGCTTAAATTCCCTTTGCTTCCTCATTTGTAGCAACAATTGAACATATGCCGTTTGCTCATATACTATATATATGATCTGTTGATTTTACTCATCTGATGCTTTGACTTTATATCTTTTCCATCTTTGGAACTTGAAAGGAGAAATAGCAGACTAATTTCCCTTTTGTCATTAGAATTTTTATGGTGGAAATGGAACTAGAATCTGACTTGAAGCCTTCACCTTGTGTCTCATGTGCTGTATGCAGCATCTTTTTCTGTTCAAGTAGCCAATATTGTATTCCAGGTTACTAAATTCTGCCAAATGTAAACAAATTGCCACCATAATTAAGCATAACATGTAGACACTGTTTCTATAGTTTTCTCTTTTGGTTGATTAATTTTATCAAGATGTGATTCCTCTTGTTCATCATCCAAATGATATTTGAAATCGCAATATTGGAAGTCCAGACTCCAGATTTAAGCTCAACCTAACTTATGCTTTTTTAAAGTGTCTGCTTGAGGCCCCTCCATTGGAAATTAATTTTTCCTTTTCAGGTAAGGCTTGGCCTTCTCCGGGAAGATGGCATAGTTGACACTGCAATGTTGGGGAAGCACCAAGGTTGTGTATACAAGCTTGCTGTGGAGCCTGGAAGTCCCTACATATTTTATAGTTGTGGTGAAGATGGATTTATTCAACATGTTAGTCCAGTATTACAGCATATTGCATGTTGAAGCTCCCCTTTATGCTATCCTTGAACAGTTATAAGTTTTGTTTCTTTTGCAGTTTGATTTAAGAAGTAGTTCTGCTACAAAGCTTTTCTGTTGTTCCTCAGTAAGAAACAATAAACAGCCTCCAAGTAAAATAGGGTTGAATTCCATTGTGATTGACTCTAGAAATCCATATTACTTTGCTGTCGGTGGATCTGATGAATATGCACGTGTTTATGACATAAGAAAATGCCAGTTGGATTCAACAAGAAATTCTGATCAACCTGTAAATACATTTTGCCCTCATCACTTAATTGGTTCAAATAATGTCCGTATCACAGGATTGGCTTACTCAAGCTTTAGTGAACTCCTTGTTTCTTATAATGATGAGCTCATCTATCTGTTTGAAAAGTCTGTGGGCTTGGGTTCTTCGCCTTCATCTGCTACATCCGAGGATCTGAAGAATATTCATGAGGCACAAGTTTATTCAGGCCACAGAAATGCACAGACAATTAAAGGAGTGAATTTTTTTGGCCCGAATGATGAATATGTGTTGAGTGGCTCAGATTGTGGCCACATATTCATCTGGAAGAAGAAGGAAGCTAAGCTGGTGAGATTAATGATAGGTGATCAACATGTTGTAAATCAACTTGAGGCCCATCCACATATACCTATCCTCGCTACTTGTGGTATAGAGAAAAATGTCAAAATGTGGCTTCCTCTAGGGAGTGATATGCCTCCCCTTCCTGCAAATGTGAAAGAGGTACAATCTCTATCTTTTTTTCCCTTCATCCTTTCCCCATTCTGCAAGTGCTTTCTGTACTTATACAAGATATGTTTAATGCATTTTGTTTTGGCCATATGATATGTTTATTGTTTCGTTCTTCATATGCTATTTTCGTTTATAAAACCTGGTTTACTTTCTTAATTGCATGTTTTCTGATTGTTAATACATGTGAACAGATAATCGAGGCAAACAGACAGGGCAGAGAAGACCGATCGCGGGTAACGCTTAGTCCTGATGTTATAATGCATGTTCTTCGCCTGCAAAGGCGACAGACGTTAGAATATATTGAAAGAGGACATAGTAGGGCAGATATTGTAAGTGATGATGAAGATGCAGAGGGATACCTTTTAGGATTCTTAGACGGTGATGCCTCTTCTGATGAGGATTCTCCAAGAAATTCCAGAGATTGCAACATTAGCTAAAGCTTAAAAAAGATGGTTTGGTTGCTTTGGCTCACTAATTCCTTAGAAATAGAAAATAATGTTAGCTTCACTGTTTTTCACTAAGCAGTACCATACACATACATGTTTGAAGCATGCCTTGATAACATGATTAGTTAGGGAAACAATTAGTGTGCAGAAGTGTAGAATCTGGATTGTTCCAGTTGAAGGTTAGATAGAGTGCAGTTAAACTCATATATTGTTGTGCATACAGGTATAAAATAAGTACAAATGTGTTTTGGTAATTAAAACAAGTGTAAATTTGATACTGTACAAATAAGTGAATAACCCTACTCTTGATTTTACGATGTTGAATGTCAACAGTGTTTTTCGTTAACATTCTTCTACATATAATGATGGATTCCACCTTTGATATAAAAAAGTTGGGATCAATAATTTATCTTCTAAAATTATTAGTTTTGACCGAAACAAAATTGCAAGAATAAAGAGGAAAATATTATACATTAAAAACCATGATAGATGTGTATGTCAAGATTGTATAAATAATAGCAAGAATCGTGTATATTGTATGAATAGTTTCTAATTTAAAGAAAAAAAATAAGTAATTTAAATTGAATAAGAAATTTTTTAAAAAATAATTTCAGTGTATTGATAGTAAAAAATTAACATGAAAGGAATGGAATTTTAATATAAAAAATGATTAAAGATAAATTTTAAGAATTTAAATTCCTAATAATTAAATTTGTAATATAAAAGTTGATTTATTTTTATCTAATGAAACCATTCACGTTGTGAATAATGCTAATGTGAGTCCTAATAAAAGAAATATCAGTTGGTGTTTAAATGAACGGGAAAGTTTTTTGGCTTTATTAAAAATATATAAATTATTTTATATTTACCTTTTTTAAGATATTAGAAGTATATGATAGAGTATTAAATACTCTTTAACAAGGGTCTTGACATTTAATTTGTTTCCCTTTTTTAATAAAATAATTAAAGTGATTCTTATTATAACAGTCTTATATTTAAACTTTAATCTTATAAATAATTTATCTCTAAATGAAATTGATAAAAAAGAACATGAAAATGTTGAGAATACTTTAGCATTCAAGGGCTTCTTTGCTGAATATTTAAGGTCAATAAAAAAATTTATTCTTAGAAAATACAAAATTGTTGAATTATTTTACTATATAAATTTTACATGTAAAAAGGCTATTATCGCGTTAAGTTATTCTAATCAAAGTATGCATTCCGCAATTTTTCCCGCAACACAATATTTGCTAAAGCGTATTTTTACATTTACATTCAAATTATTATAAATTTAATTTTAAATAACTTTATTAGTCATAATTTTTATTTTAGGTTTTTGTATATAAATTTTTTAACGTGAATTTAAACATTTATTAAAACTAAATTTTAATGACGGAGAAAATTTCGTTATCGGTCGAATACTCGTATATAGAATACTTTTCTTTTGAATCATATGAAATGTAATATTAATTTATTGGATTGAATTGTCAATATATTGTTACTCAAAATAATATTTTCATATTACTAAAGACTAAATTATAAAGAGTAAAACATTATTTGTATTGCTTTTAGTTTTAACAAAATTTAAATTATATATTCAAGAAATCAAAACATGTAGCAGTAAAAGGAACAAAAAGTTAAGCTAAACAGTAATGACACTCTAGGAATGACTTTTTAATAGGAATAATTTTAATGAAGAAATATTTTTTAAAATTAAAATTAAATTCCGTTAATACCATATATTAGACTTAAACATTTACATCATTAAATTTTTTTTAAATTTGAAGTTTAAAGTTTCATCCTTTGAGTTGTTTTTCAAAAACTTGAGGCTAGATAACCTTATGATTAAAATATGATCCTTATAATTTTTATTTTTTTATACTGATGTTGGTTCCTAATTAACTATCGTTACTGTAACTTTTATCTTACAAATATTAAAACAATATAAATAATATGAATTTATATTAATAATATAATATATTACACTAGCAAATAATTTTTTTATGATATTAATAGATTAAATACTAGTATAATATATTATACTTTTAATCTGATTTTAAAGTATATCTTAACAAGTTGATTTTGTTAGACAAAAGTTATACTGATCAGTAATTTTTTTGTGCACTGTATAGAGATATTATTAAATCAAAAGATACATTATAAAAATTTCAATCTTAGCAATATTAAATAAAACTAAATTAAATAAAAAAAACTTTAAATACTTTAATTCTTAATTATATTAAATCTATTTTCAATTTTTCCTTTAATATCATACATAACTATCAAAATTTTAAAAATTTAATCATTAAAATTTGTTATCTCATTTAAAAATTGACTATAATACGTAATAAAACGTAAAAATTAATAAGTTTGCATACTCTTATTTTAAAGAATTAGTTGCACTCTGCATATAAGTAAAAAAGAATATGTATATATTTCACCCAAAAATAATGATATGTAATTATTGAGATATGATGAATTGATAAATAACCTTAATTTCAAAAGTTAAGATATATAATATAAATAAATAAAACTATTTTTAACGTTTGATAAATTTTTATTTAGTAATAAAAAGTAAATTTTTAAATACACATGCATACATATATTTCTTTAAGTTTGAATTTATATAATTTTAATTTATTAAAAATAATAATTATTTTTTACGAAAGATTTAGTATAAAATGTTAGTTGGGGACAAGACTAAAATATATATATAAATAAAAAGTAGCAGGAAGTATTATAAAAGATAGCGTAATTTCAAATCGAGTGCTGATACGAAAATTTAACATAATTTTAAAATCATACACAACTATACAAAATATACAGATGCTGTAGACAAGTGTGTCATGCCACTAATTCAATCCTTTCTATATTTTATTCTGTGAAGAAGAAACATCAATTAAACCAAAAGAAAAAGGTAAAACTTTTATTCTCTACCACAAAGACAAAAGAAGAGTCAACGACATAGGAATGGGCTCAAAAGTGCGATTTGAAACTCATTTACGTGCAAAATGAACGGTACAACCAAGCAGATTCTAGAATATTGTTTACAGAGCAGTTGTCAAAATAGACAAAGAAGATCTTAAGTATATAATCATGCCATTAATCAATCTTAATCATTAGGGAGACAACTGTGGCCATTCCTGCATACATTATGTAAATCATGCACCGCCATCTCTTTTTTATTCCATCATAGTTGAGTGTTAATTACGAGAGTCAATTGGAAGTTGCATTAATCATTAGTGCATAAAGTTAGCGCAATGTTGGTTAGGTTTATCTGAAAATTAATGATAGAATAAGTGGTGTATGAAAATTTGATGTCAGCTGGGACAGCGATAATTTTTATTTATTATTTTTTAAAATACATTTGATATACATTCTTCGAGTTAGGTGTATATGTTTAGAGGATAAAAAATAATAATAAATGTGATAGATAATATATGACATATTATGTTGATACAAAGCACCTTGAAATGAAAAGAGGCCTCATTTTATCCTATTTGGATGAATAAAATAAATAACGAGATGTGCCAAATACCTTGCTTTCATCGTTTCTCAAAATAGAAAATTTTCCCACTTTGTGGATTAGTTCGATCATGTTGCTAGCACGTTACATAACGAATACAATGATACCCATATTTATCAAATTATACGAGTACAAGACCATCTTGTGTTGCATAAAATTTGGAACCAACTTAGAAGCACACATGCAAAATATATCATTACTTATTACAATCGAACAGCATCTCCTCTTAAACTTTTGCATGCTTGTACAAAGTAGAACATAGCAAATAATACCCAAAGTTGATGCCCCCCAACAGCACTAACAACCAGTAAAAATTATCAAGCCTTCCATGATTTATGTCATCATGTAACCAACCAGTGCTTCTGCGAACTTGGTCAATTAATGCTGTACTTAGGTAAAAAGATATTCCTATGATCATTGAAATCATAGCAGTTGATGTGCTCCTTAGTGAATGTGGAAGTTGTTGATAGTAGAATGTAACTTGTGCTGGAAAATGAAACGCTTCTCCAATGCCAACTAACACTAACTGTGGAAACAACCAAAGGACAGACATGGGCACAATTGGGTTGGATTTCTCTTGAGCCATGTGCCCATTTGCTATCTTGAGCCTCTTTGATTCAACAAGAGCTGAGACAACCATCGCAAGAACATTGAACACGTGGCCTACTCCAACTCGTTGGAGAGGAGTAGCAGATTTACCAATCAGCTTTTGCCACGTAGGCCTAAGCACCTTGTCAATAAGGGTGAGGAAAATGGATGTGGATATTAGGGGTATTACCGTAATAGAGCCAGCAGGGAATTTAAAATGGGGTCCTATAACTCGATCTGTGGCTAATGCTTGAAGCACTGTCAAGCTACCTTGGACTCCTATTGGAGTGGCCAGGAATATACTTGTTGTCCATAGTGGCAATATTCCAATAACAGTTTTAAAATCTTCCACTTGTTGAACTGTGCATAGCCTCCATGGCTTCTCAATTGATCCATTTGATTGAAGGTCTCCATCAATTACCAGAGCTGCACGATTGAAGAACCTGCATTTGCATGTAACTAAGGAACTGTATGTATTACTAGTTTGAACACACATTTATTATATTCACTTAACTCCTTAATGTAGAAGCTAGTTCCCTTCTTGAGCAATTAGAATCTTGGAATACATAACGTTTAAGTAAATTGAGTCGATTTTGATAAATTTCTTCGTAAACATTTATATGCGAAGAAAAAAAATAATTAAAATTAACTAATCTGCTCAAACTATTTTTAGATACTGTCGTGGAACTTATTCCTAAGCGCTGTACAACCTTATCATCTAACTTCTTTATAAATTTCTATAGATTTAACTTACCTTTGAAAGATCTTATTAATGGATTTACGAGTAAAAAACTCTAAAATCAGAACCTAATTCTTCCATTTAAGTGAAAACGTGGGTGTACCACTTTTCTCAACATGAAGCTTTCTCTATAACATTTCAGTGTATTCTTGCACTACTAAGAAACGAATCAAACAAGGAGAAAGGCTCATATACCTTTATATGATTCGGTTCCACTACCACTAGTCCATTATATTAACAATAACTAGTCACACTATCTTTAAGTAAGGTTTTTAATAAATTTTGTTGCACCAAACAAATTTACTAGAGGCAGTAAAGGTAACACCAATCACAATAACAAACTTAGTACCTTAATCTTTCTCCTGGTGTTACTGGAACCACCTCATCATGACCACCATAATAATCCTTTGTTGTCGACGATGGCTGATATTTCCATTTACGAATAGTAGCAACAAGAACACGAGCCAAATCCAAAAATGCACTTCCTTGGGGATTATCGGGGCGATAAAATCGATAACCCAGTAAGAAAAGGATTAATGCTACAAAGGTAGCCGCGCCACATATGCCAAAGCCCAAACCCCAACTCACATTATCCTCAACATAGAAAAGCCCAGTAAAGGCTATAATAGAAGCAATATACCAAGTGAAAAAGAACCAGTTGAAAAATGTTCCTTGATGCTCTGTCTTATCAAACTGGTTTGCTCCCAGTGATGCTGTTGTGAAGCGTGCACCCCCAAAACCAATTGCTGTTAAAGCTATGCCCCCATATAGGACTGTGTATTGGATTTTCGAAGGGGAGTTGCACAGGTTTGATCCATCGTTACATAGATGAGGCTTTAACGATTTGATAGTTGCTGTCAAGGCTAAAATAATTGTACCCTGCAAATGCAATTTCATTTATTATTGTTTATTGCCATAGAAGAAATAATAAGTAAAAACTAGGAAAGAAATGAAACATGATTTGTGTAACAAAGGTGACAATGATGTTATAAAAAAAAAATTGAAGATAGCGAAATATAAAATAAGGTTTAAATGTTTAATTTGTTTAAAAAAAATACTCTTTTTTTTTACAATATTCTTAACGTATTTTATGGTAAAAGAAAGAGAGAAATCATAGTTAGAGTTTATTTTAACTTTTTTTTTATCGTAAAAGATATGGATATAGATATAAAAAAAAAGTGTGAAAATATTCTTAAATGTTTTTAGAGCATGGAATTTTACAATTGACTTTAACTTATGTATTATAATTAAATATTTCTATTTGAGATTGATTTCTTATGGTTTTGAAAGTGGGTTAAAAAAAAATTAAAAGTGTATTTTGAAAAGTTTATAAAAAATATTCTATTACTCATATATTTTTAATTTATTTTAATAATTTATAGTCTAAACTCTAAGGTAATAAAAAATTATTAAATATGTATTTAATTAAATTATTATTTGGACACATCATAACTCGTCTTGTTTAGTGATAGGTTAGTATATCAACCCACTCAAGTAGTAAAAATTTGAAAAGCTAACAAAAATAAATGAGAAAAATATAAATTCTTTTGAAAAGTAAACAAAAATACATATTAATTTTATTATTTAAATAATTAAAAAGTAATATTACATGTTGTATCGTGTCTAAATATTTGTATTTTTCACTCTTATATGTATACATGTATATATTCTAAAAATACACTAAAAAAACTAAAAATAAAAAATTTACCTCCAAAATTGTTCAAATAACATTTTTAAATAAGATTAAAAATATAAATGGGAGTAAAAATTGAGAAATAATGAAAATCAACTTTAGGTTGGACATTTTAAAAACTTATAAATTAAAAATAAAGAATAAGAAAAAGTAATAAAGAGCCGACTCAACGATTGGTTTATGGGGGACGGATTACGCAAATCGGTACATAACTTGCTAATAATTAACCGGTAAACCAAGTACAAATTCAACCCACTTTGACAACACTAGACTGCACTTGAGTCAATTAATGATTGGTAACATATTGAAAGTTGAAGCTGATCAAGTAAAGACTAGTCTTAATTACCCTTAATACGATCATATCCCAAAACAATCTTGCTGGGAGAAAAGATCCAGTTTTCAAACAAAGTTAGGAAGAATAATTACCAGCAAAGAAACAGAAGAAGAAACCAAGGCAACAGGGAAAGAACCAAAGCAAGAGTCAGCAATGATTGCCGCAACAAATGGGAAAAGCGAGGAGCTTCCATTAGCTATGTTTGCAACCTGAGCCGCAGTGATGCTCTCTATGTTGAACTCTCTTATCAGATATACAATCAAGTTTCCAATTATTCCTGCTCCTCCAAGTGACATCCCCGCCACTGAACCTGTTCAGCAATACAAATATACATTATTCACAAATTGTTTAGAATAAAAAAAAATTATCAACACTTTCGAAAAAATAGTTTATAACTGTTGTAAAATTTTTAAATTTTATTTCAATAAACATTTTTTGTGTAACTTGTTAAAGTAATTTTTTCTTAATTACCTTAAGAAAATTATTTTTTAATTTATTAATTAAGTGTTTAATTAAACTGTATATAGTGAATGTTTATGAGCAGTAACATGCAGCAACATAGAAAGAGAAAGAGGAAGAGAGAGAGACCAATGATGAAGGGAAAAGTTATCCAACCGCCTCTATTGCTCCCACTGTTCATGTTCTGTGCTTCTCTGCGGGATGTGAGTGGGTTATTCATTCCTTCCATCCAACTTTTTGCTTCAAAACTCGAGTGGTATTCGTTTTTATAGGAAACTTTGTCTTGCACGTGTTTTTTTTTTTTCTACTTTTTTTCAGGAGAGGTAGGAAAACAACAAAAAAAGAAAAAAGAATGCTAAGAAGTACATGATAGTGGCCATGACGTTTTTCTAACGTCAATAAAAAGTCATTGGAAGGTGCTACCCTTTGGAACAATCATGGTTACTAACTCTTGTTTAAGCTGAACCAAACAAACAGCACATTCATACAATTGCCTCTTGATAAACATGAACAATTTTGAAATTAAGTTTTTGTTTGTATTTGTTTATTTATGTTTCTTTAATTATATAATAAAATAATGTGCCCAAGAATGTGAGAGGGGGTTAGTTCATGGGGACACTCCACAATTAATGCGACCATGGATCACCCTGTCACCAAGCAGCCACTTTCATAGTCATCCATCTCCATTCGTTGACTTCTCCTTTGACACCCATCATCGATTCTTAAACTTCAAGTACAACACAATCGCTAAACAGCACTAACAACCAGTAAACATTATCAAGCCTCCCATGATTTATGTCAGCAGGTAACCAATCGGTTCTTCTACGAACTTGGTCAATTAAGGCTGTGCTTAGGTAAAAAGATATCCCAATGCTCATTGAAACCATAGCACTTGATGTGCTACTTAGTGAATGTGGTAGTAGAATGCAACTTGTGCTGGAAAATGAAGCGCTTCTCCAATGCCAACTAACACTAACTGTGGAAACAACCAAAGGACAGACAAGGGTGATCTGGGATTGGATTGCTCTTGGGCCATGTGCCCATTTGCTAACTTGAGCCTCTTCGATTCAAACAGCGCTGAGACAATCACGGCAAGCTCATTGAACATGTGGCCTACCTTAGATTTTTTGGGCTCCTTCTTGCGTTGGAGAAAGGTCCAACTATACTAGTTCACTGTGTCTTGTTAAAACTAAAATTAGTAGATAGGGAACAAATAGACTATGAATAAGACTATTATTTTCACACATCACTCTATTGTTATTTTTCATATTTCAGTGGCAGATTTTTTTACTGTTGAATAAGTCTAAAAAGGAAGAAATAGATATTGCAATTTTGTACTATGCAATTGAGATTTTTTTATTTTTTTGTTTCTTGTTTGTAAATAGTTTTTTATCCTTACTTTAAAAAAATTTTCCTGGTGTTACAGGAACCATCTCATCATGACGACCATAATAATCCTTTGTTGGGGACGAGGTCTGATATTTCCATTTACGAATCGTGGCAACAAGAACTCGAGCCAAATCCAAGAATGCGCTTCCTTGTACCCTATCGGGGCGATAAAATCAATAACCCAGTGAAAAAAGGATTATTCCAATAAAGTTAGCCTCACCACATATGCCAAAGCCCAAAGCTTATCATCAACATAGACAAGCCCAGTAAAGGCTACAACAACTTATTTGCTCCTAATGATGCTGTTGTGAAGCCGTGCCCATAGAGAGCTATGCCCCCATACAGAACTGTGTATTGGATTTTCGAAGAGGGGTTGCACGGGTTTGATCCATCGTTACATAGATGAGGCCTTAACGATTTGATATATGCTGTCATGGCCAACATAATTGTAAATGTTTTAATTTTGTTTATCCTGTTTACTATTACTTTAAGTTCAATAAATGAATGCACACCATATGAGAAATAACAAGGAAAAACTAGGAAAGATTTAAAATGTTGAATGGAATAGATGTGACAATCATGTTGAAGATAGAGAAATAGAAAATAAGCTTAGGATGTTAGAATTGTTTCAAAAGCTACACTCTTTTTTTAAGTATACTTGTGTATTTTATGGGAAAAACAGATATATTTCTTAATTTCAGTTTCTTTTTACTTTTTTACCATAAAAGATATGGATATGGATTAAAAAAAATGTGTGAAAAATGCTTTTAAATGTTTCTAGAGCGTGCAATTTTATACTTGAAATGACATTTATATATCATTATAAATTTATTTATTATAATTACAAATATATATTTCTACTTCATTATTTGTCGTTACACATAAATCGAAATTCCAAGTAGAAGATATTCGATTACTCACATAAAATTATTCATGGTGGATTTTTTTTCCTTTTTATTTAGATTAGCTCGTTTTAAAATGAAACATAGTTTTGTGAAGAATTAAACACAATTATAATTTTAAAAACAATTACATAACATGTTCGAAACACAAACAATGTGTGTTGCTGTTGATGCAAACAAAGATCACTAGGAAATTAAAAACGCTTGAATGCACCATCTCGTTAAAATCAATGGTAAATACGAACAATAGTTACCTTTTTCTTTTAATTACTTCAAATTTAGCGCTATAGAATCTAAAAGTGGAAATGTGATATATTTAGGATTTTTTTTCTCCTTTTAAATATATTTTTATTTTAAAAAAAATTTGTTAAAATATAATTTAAAAATAATTTTTTATTTTCACTTTTTAAAACTGAAAAAAAAAATACTATTAAAGTGTTTTTGTTTTTCTTCCTAAAACTAATGAAAGTTCAATTAAAAATAATTTCAAAACTAAATTACTAAACAACTTTTACTTTTATTTTTATCCTAAAAATAGTTTTATAAAATAGTTTTAAAATATAATTTTTAAAAACTAAAAATTTAAACGAAATCAAAGAAACCCTTAATATTTTATTCTACTATTAAAAAAGTTTGAAGTGAGACTAATTTACTGTTTGTAAAAGTGAGTAGAAAACATCAAGCGTTTACTTAAAAGAGTTTATAAAAATATTTTATAATAATTTTAAAAATTATTATTTTTATAAATTATTTTAATTTATGTTAATAAGTTTTATAATCAAGATTATAGTTTAAACTATAATGCAATAAAAAAATTATTAAAAAATATTTATTAGTATACCAACTCACTCAAATAATAAAAAATTTGAAATTAATAAGAAAACTAAAAATAATAATATTATAAAATTATTCCAAAAAAGAGAATAAAAGTAAAGATTGATTTTATTATTTAAATAAATAAAATTTAATATTATATCTAATTATTTTTATTTTTCACTTTTTTAATACTTGTTTACATATATTTATTTTTAAAATATACTCAAAAGTTAAGCAAAAAACTAAAGATTTTATCTCTAAAATTGTTAAAAATATAAATAAATAAAAGTTAGAATGCAAATGGGAGTGAAAATTGTGAAGCAACGAAAATAAAGTTTAGTTTGTACTCTTTAAAAACTTATATATAATTAAAAAAGAATAAGAAAAAAAAAACCGACTCAACGATTAGTTTGTACAAGATGAATTACGCAATTTAGTATATTACATGCAAATAATTAACGGTTTAACCAAGTTCAGATTCGATCCACTTTGACAACACTATACTGCACACTGCAGTCAATATAATTAGTGATTGGTAACAATATTGAAATATAATGCTCAAGTAAAGATTAGTCTTACCCTTCATACGATCATAACCCAAAAGTGTTGTATGAACAGCAGAAATAGGAAAATGAAAGAGATAGTGTTTTGGGAGGAAGACATCATCGTTTATTCAATAGAAAAGCCTTTTAAATAGGCTGTACAGCAAACGGGAAGCGAACAGAAAATATGAAGCTAACTCCTAAAATATTGGAAAGTATAACAACTTTAAATCAAATACTAACTACTGCTGTAAAATAGGAAGTAACACGTAACAAAGTCAAAACTATCTTAACAAATCCTCCCTTAAACTGACATTAGTTTCTAATATCAGTTTAAACTAAGAACTTTCTGTCTTGCTAACTCCAAGCATCTGCCTCAACTTCTGAAATGCTGCAAGTTTGAGAGCCTTTGTGAATATGTCTGCGATTTGATCCTCACTCCTGCAGTAAACCAAGTCAATTTCTTCATTACTTGCCCGTTCTCTCAAGAAATGGTATCGAACATCAATATGTTTACTTCTCCCATGTAAAATAGGATTTTTGGACAGCTTTATGGTTGAACTATTATCACAGTAGATAAGAGTAGGCCCTTTTTGCTTGAAATGAACTTCCTCAAGAAGCTTTCTCAGCCAAATGGCTTGACAGACACATGCTGATGCAGCTACAAGCTCTGCTTCTGTTGTCGATAGAGTGACAATTGGTTGCTTTCGAGAAGACCATGAAACAGCTCCTGACCCCATTTTAAAGACATAACCAGATGTACTTTTCCTATCATCTTGGTCACCAGCATAGTCGCTATCCGTAAAGCCAATCAAATCTGACTTTTCTCCCTTTTTGTACAAAATTCCATATTCACTTGTACCTTGCAAATATCTAAGAATTCTTTTTGCTGCTTGAAGATGCACTTCCTTCGTAGTTCCATGAATCTACAAATGAGACTTACAGCATACATTATATCCGGCCTTGTCGTAGTGAGATACATCAAGCTTCTCACAATTTGCTTGTACATAGTGCTGTCAACATTTCTTCCATTGTCATCTTTTACTAACTTCAAACTCGTCTCTGCTGGTGTGCAAGCTGGATTACAGTTCTCCATTTGAAACCTTCTTAGAATCTCTCGCACATACTTCTTTTGAGAAATAAAGATACCTGTATCTGATTGAATAACCTCTATACCCAGAAAATAATGCATTCTTCCAAGATCAGACATGTCAAATTCAGCCATCATGGACCTTTTAAACTTATCAAACATAGTCTGATCAGTTCCAGTAAATAACAAGTCATCAACATACAAACAGACCAACAACAATTTTCCACCATTGTCAACCTTCACAAAAAGTGTGTACTCATAAGGACATTTCTGAAAGCCTTCTTTGAGAAAATAAGCTTCTATACGACTATACCAAGCTCGTGGAGCTTGCTTAAGTCCGTATAAAGCCCTTTTTAATTTATACACTTTATGCTCTTGTCCAATCTTAACATAACCAGGAGGTTGTTTAACAAATACCTGCTCATTCAAATCTCCATGTAGGAATGCTGACTTAACATCTAACTGGAAAATTGGCCAAGAATTTTGTGCA